GTGGTCAGTATAAATACAAAAATCTCGGCCCTCAATATAATTACGAAAATGCTTAATGGCTAGATAAATTGCAAGAAGTTCTCTACCAAAAGTGCTATAGCGAGTTTGTGGGGGTGTTAATTTGGCAGAGTAGAAAGCCAAGGGCTGGGTGCCAGTGGGCGTCTGTGGCTGAAGGGCAGCACCTATAGCGAAATTAGAGGCGTCGGCCACAATGGAAAGTGGGGCATCAGGTATAGGGTGGACAATGACAGTTGTGTCCGCAAGAGCCTTCCTCGCACGATTGAAAGCCTCTACAGCTGTGTCAGGAAAAGAAAACTCACGGTTGTTCCCGCGTAAAAGGTTAGTAAGTGGTAGAATTAATTGAGCACAATGAGGGATGAAACGTCGATAGAAATTGACAAGGCCTATAAAACGGCGCAGTTGTTGAAAAGAAGTGGGAGTAGGGAAATCGCGAATAGCTGAAACTTTGGCATCTATGGGGTGACAACCAGAAGCATCTACGCAATGTCCTAGGAAAAACAGCGACTGTGCGCCAAAAACGCATTTAGAAACATTAATGAAAACGCCAAATTGGCTCAATCGTTCAAAAATGAGACGCAAATGTTGTAGGTGCTCATGTTCACTGGAACTTGCTACCAGAACATCGTCGACGTAGACGAAAACGAACGGTAGATCGCGGAGGGCTTCGTTGATAAAACGTTGAAAAATTTGGGCGGAGTTGCGTAGTCCAAAAGGCATCCTGACAAACTCGAACAGACCGAACGGTGTTGTAATCGCCGTTTGGGGAACGTCTTCTGGAGCAACGGGTATCTGATGGAAAGCTTTGACTAAGTCAATGTTAGAAAATATTGTTGCTCCAGGTAGGCTAGATGAAAAGTCGTGGAGATGGGGAAGTGGATACCTGTCAGGCACAGTGGGGGTGTTTAACCGTCGGTAATCCCCGCATGGGCGCCAGTCAACGAGAGACTTTTTGCACACCATATGTAGAGGTGCAGCCCATGGACTAGTGGAAGGCCTAACTATGCCTAGCTCCATCATGTGGCTGAATTCAGCCTTGGCTATGGCTAACTTATCGGCGGCTAAACGACGGGGACGGCTAAACACGGTTGGTCCAGTAGTTGAAATATAATGTACAACAGAATGCTTGATAGGTTGGTTAAATTGTGAAGGTCGTGTGATAGATGGAAATTCCGAAAGTAAACGATGATAGGGAGTAGACGAAGGGATTGTTGAAATGCGTGGATTAGGTGATGAAAGTGTACGAGTGGAACAATTACAATGTAAAGAGGTCTTAGGATCAAATAATTTATGGGACTTCATGTCAACGAGGAGACCGAAAAAAAGATATAAAATCAGCGCCGAGAATGGCAGTATGGACATCAGCGATAGTAATTAGCCAACGAAATGAACGTCTTAGACCCAAATATAGTGTAAGGGATCGTTGACCAAAAGTTTTAATAGAAGTATTGTTAGCTGCTTGGAGGAAAAATGAAGAATTTGATGACTTACGGTCAGTCAAGGTGGGTGGGATTAGACTGATCTCCGCACCAGTATCCACGAGAAAATTACGACAGGAAGTCCTGTCATAGATGTGGAGTAAGCGACTGGGAGAGGATGTGCTGACCACATTCGTCGCCCTTACTGGTCGGCAGGGGAGTTTTCCGACGTGGGTGTTGTATACTTGCACGGAGAGTGGCAGCGATGTGCGTTAGAACCATAATTGTGATGATACCAACAGAAACCATCAACTGTAGGTTTGTTTGGAGTGGGAGATCTCGGGCGGCGAGAAATTGAAGGACTACGAGGGTTATAGACATGAGTGGCCCGGTGCTGGGAAACTTCGAGAGTGAGGGCATCCAGGCGTTTGACGACATCCTCGATTGTGGGGGCAGTTGTGATTCGAATAACGACGTTAACCGTAACAGGAGGCTGGTAGTACTCGAGTATACGGTCAGCAGTCTCCGCGAGCATCTGAACAGTCGATGAAGGAATGGTAGGCGCAAGGATGGCTTGCACAGAAGGAGGCAACCGTTGGAGGAAAAGTTGCTTGAACATGGTGGCATCCAGCTTTTGTCCGTCTGCCAACTGCTCCAAACGCCTAAGAAGCTGCGTAGGCTTCCTGTCACCGAGGTCCTCCTCAGAAATTAAGCATTGGAGACGTTTTTGCGTTGAGAGGGAAATGCGGGAAATGAGAGCCTCCTTTAGGGCAGTATGAGGGGCTTCTGTGGGCGGGCAATCTATGATGTCGCGGAGGTCGGTGGCGATGTCCATTGGGAGTGCTGCCACAACATAGTGGAATTTCGTATCCTCTCGTGTGATCTGACGGAGGGCGAATCGTGACTCTACAGTGCGCAGCCATAACGCGATGTCACCGAGCCACACGGATGGCAGGTCAAAAGTGTGAATGCCGGCTATCGGCTGGCTGCAAGAATCGCTGGACATAATTAGCCGGGGTCGGTCAGAGGTCAGATAAATGGGGTAGAGGACTGGCGCGTTGACGGTGAGACTGAAGGGTAGCGCTCGTATTGGATGAAAGGGCGAGACAGTGTGGATAGCAAATAAGGGCTAGATGAATAATCTGATCGATAAAATTAGAGGGAGGATTAATCCGAATGGAAATAGTTAGGCACAGAGATTAAACAGAAGGAGCTATGAACGATATAGGGTCACCAGTATAAGAGACAAACCCACTAGTTGGACACAGCGAGTAGGCTATCCAGGAAACGAAAATAGCAGTATCCCAACAGTTACAAACTAGTAAATAAGAACAAAGTCGTCGGCAGTTAAAAGTGCACGTGCGTGTTCTTTGTCTTATTCAAAGTTGTGTCAAAGCGTATTGTGACTGATTAAAACAAAACAGACTTAAATGTCACTACAGGTTAAAAGTCAGAGCCCTTAATGCCTTATTTACATAAAATGATTTCGCATATTCGACCTCAAAATTTTATTGCAATCATTTAGATTGTGGTCGATTCACAGTACGTTAATAAAAAGGAAGCGCATCTGTTCACCGGGAGTCAATACGGGAAGACTGACTATGACAATGTGGTTTACGAAGCTGGCGGTAAGTAGTCATGCTGTAAAGGTTGGCCTTTTTCGAAAATTACGCGAGCAAGTTTTCTTTTAAACATACAAGGGTGGAGTTTAAAAAAATGCCAGAAATTAAAACAGTGGAAGCCATACTTGAGTAGACGACAGAGAAGTCCCTGGGGGATAAACGCTTACTCTCGGGTCTCCAGCATGGGTTAACACAGAACCGTACTTGCCTTTTCAGTTTATTGCTCTCGATGGAGCAGTGGACTCGTCCACCTAACGAAGATGTCGGATTAACGTCACCTACACTAATGTCAAGGTGTTCGACGGCGTCCCACATTAACGCCCAATTTATAAACTCAGTGAAATTGGAATGAGATGAAAACCGCCGACATAGATTGCACACTTTTTTACAGGGAGGTTCTCAATGTCAACCGCTATCCCGTTCCAAGTGGTATCACTCGGGGCTCAGTCTTAGGGACGTTGCTGTTTCGAGTTTGCATCAACGGCTCTGTAGACGATCTGGGATGCGACGCCGCCCAGTTTGCGGACGATACTAAACTGTGGAAAGCCATCACGTCCGACGCAAACAGGCACCTACTCCAACAGGGTCTCAACCGACTCAGCAGCTAGTCTGCTTGTTGGCTCTCAAAGTTTAACGTTAGTAAATGTCAGTTTACGTTCTCAGATCGATATGGAGTCGTTCGGGGAAACCTACGGCGCATTCGTTCTGTGTCACTTAGAGTATGCCGTCTAGGTCTGCCGACCATGATTCAACAACTAAGACGAGTGCAGGCGGGTGCTTCAGATATGTTCAAGGCTCTTGGTCACCTGCCTTGCAAAACCAGACCGGCCGAACTTAATTTGTTTCCTCTCGATTGCGGGCAACTGTGTGGCGATTTTATTTAAACCTATCAGTGTCAGAGGCCGTGTGTGTGTGTCCTAGGTTTCAGGGACTTCCTTGAATTGGCTGGTACAGGCAGTCAGCAAGGTCATCCCCTTAAATTGCAGTGGAAGTTGATTCATAAGGACATCCGACGAACGTCTTCTCGTAAAGGGTAGTTAGAACATGGAACGGAGTCCCTGCCATGACAGCTTGCGCCTGGCTCAACATACAGATGAATTTTGAATAACCAGATTTTCTGCTGTAAGGATTTATTCTTAACCTATTTTTGGATACATATTGTGAGCTCAAGAGCAAAAACAAGATTTCCCTAATAAACCGCCTTAAACTAACCTAAATAAGTAAACGCGCTAGGCCTAAATCTCAATTTATGAATCAGTGGGTCATAAACGAGTCAAGAACTTCATCATAGGCAGTGAAGTTGGGGCATCAGCGGCGATGGCTATAAATGACTGAGAACGGGCAGGTCAAACAAAATGGCGAGTGCGTTAATGCCTGTGAGCTTTTAGGCCAATAGTGACGTCGCTCAAAGAAGAAAGGCTACTACTTTCCGTGAAAACATTTTGACCAGTGTCTTTAAGGATTTTTGGACTCGGTCCGTCCAACAGCTTATAAGGCAATCAAATGAGCTCTGTTAGGTGGTTCTGCACTCACCAAACGAAACGCATGCCTCCGTCTTCCACTGTGTCATAATCCAATTAAAGTATAGCTTTTCAGAGAGAGTTCCAAAGAGTAACTGTGTCAAAACCCTGTTTAGTTCTCGTAGAATGAAGCCTTAAAATGCAGGAGTCGGCAGGCCTGAACCCAAGTATCCACAGTTGTACAGACTTCGACCTCCAAATATCGCTGTGCATTTTACGTGCTCACGGCGAAAAGTCCAATATATTTCTATACTTAAGTAATAAGACGTTTAAAATATTACCAAGTAAGAGAAATAGTTTATTTGCCAATTTTAGGCATTTTATTGACTAAAATTTACTATTAACATTTTTGTTTATGTCGCTTCCCCAGTCCGACTGCGCGCCACTTTCGAAAAAGACGTGATTGCGACTGTGGTTTTGTGATGGCTGAAAAGAAGCAGGATCTGTCGACAGGACCGCTTTACTGGGTTAGGATAACCCTTACGTCTGCTGCCGTAAAACCTTTAGAAAAGGTTGCCGAAGATGTTAAGGCTCGTGCGAAGGACAAGAATCTGAAGCTTAAAGGACCTATTCGCCTCCCCACGAAGGTGATTCGTTTCTTTTATATATTTACCTTTCCTCCAGACCCTCCGCATTACTACGCGAAAGACCCCGTGCGGCGAGGGTTCAAAAACCTGGGATCGCTACCAGATGCGGATTCACAAACGCGTTCTTGACTTGTTTTCCAACTCGGAAACCGTTCAGCAGCTTACACTGTACGACCTAGACCCTATGGTGCGTGCCGAGGTTAAGATTGAAGGTGGAGATGCCTAAATAAATAGAATTTTTGGTACCGCTGCCTTCCTCATTGCATTCTTTCCATCTGTACTGGGGACCTGTGTGGACGGCTGTCGCTTGGAGGTCAAATATCGTAAGCCTTAAGATATAAGTTATAAGAGCTCTTTTGTGCCCTGCTTTCATTATATTCCATTCAAATAATTAAGTTCTTGTTCAGTGCATTTAATTTTGTTCGGCTACATTTTTGGAATCTCCTTATGTAGTGGCAGCGTCCCACGCCCAAAGTCAGTTTACCATGTCCAAAACACTTCCGAACTTCCTGATGACGAGCACAATATCCGTCAAGGACAGCTACTAGTTCGGATTCGTTGCATTTTCATTCTGTGTCCAAAGTCTTTAAACCATGCTCATTTGTATATCTTCAGTGGCGTGTCTGCCGATGGTTATGCTTATGTGTGCACGCCCAGTGCAGACCCGAGAGGCAAAAAAAGTTCAGGTCGATTAGTCGGAATCGCTTAGTGACACTGTTGGGTCCGGCCTGCAACGTGACGCGATTCGCGGCCATCTACTAGCTCTCGTATCGTAAAGATCAGTGGCTGCCGCCACCTATGATTTCTAGAGCTGAAGCTTTATGAAAGATATCCAGCACCTGGTGGCAACCCCTGGATGGTCGTGCATACACGCATACAAGGTATGCTTCAAACGATTGTACTCATGGTTTGTATAACTGACCTCGTTAAGTGCGTCTATCACAGCTCTCCGTGTTTGATGGTCTGCGACATCGGACCTAGAGAACCTAACCCATTCTCCATTTCAGGCACGCGACCAAACCAATAAGACGGAGCATACTGAGCCAAGTTTTGTGTTTCCATCTTCAACGCTGGGCGGAGAGCAACTTCGTAACATGGAGTTCAGCACCACTGAGGCGGATAACGCGCCCAGAGCACCTTGTCGTCTTTCTTGGAAGACTCGCAATATTCTTGCCACGTCTCAGCGAGCGCCACTGTCTACTTCTTCACGCGGCCCGTGTGCTCTACCCAAAAGTTGATTACCATTGGCCTACGGCCTAACGCGTAGCTTTCGTCTGTTTCGCATATGCGCAGGCCAACATTTGCAGCCGTACCGCAGGAGCGACTGGACAGGAACCCGGTGCACACCAATTCTTGTGACGGAAACATTGCGTCGGGCTTGCAGATACTCAAAAAACCGCTAAAACTAGCAGCACCGACTCGGCAAATGATATCTCGTTTAGTCTGCCCACGTTGCAGCACCTTGGTTTTGAAGTATTTGAGACTACGCAGTTCTTAAACCTGACTCCCAGTAATTCCATATGGTCACTTCTAGCGGCCGAAAGCCCACTTGGAAAATACTTTAGTTTTGCCACAATTTATTGACAAACCCCACTAGATTTAGCCACCTCACCCACACGCAACTTGTACCTGGTACGGCTGCGATCATGCCTGATTTAGCCGGCCTCGATGATGTCCCGAAATGTACCTCCACGCGTGACGATCCGTGGCAGCAGATCTGGACAGTTCGACCCATTCTCTTAGCCAACAACGGAGACCGAATACCGAAGGTCCAAGAACCACCTTCATGTCTTGACGAACTGTGTCTAGCCAGGTTTGAACTGACCCCCTCTTCGTCGCCTCCAATGGGACAAGGGTGCCGGATCGAGGGCAGTGACACTGAGATCCTGAGGTGGAGGACGAAGAACATCCCCAAACCACCTCAATCGTCTTTCTTGGATGGCCTGAGTTATCCTTGCGATGTTGTTGCAGCTAGTGCGGACTGTCTTATTTGAGACGAAGTCGGTGTACTTCACTCGACGGATAGTCTTCAGGCAGTGGTGGTCAGATGCCTCCAGTTTTCGCTCGTCCTCCACACGCAAAGCCCAGCATTCACAACCGTAGAGAAGGACAGATGCACGGTACACGCGAATCTTAGTGGCGATGAGGAGGTCGCGTCGGATCCATAGGCATTTTCCAAGGCTTGAGAAAACCCGTTAGGCAGCATCAATTCGGAGGACAATGTCATCCTTACTCTGGCCATTCGGTAGCCGCCTCGCCCTGGGTATCTAAAGCTACCTCAAGTTGACAGCCATCAATCCCGAGAGGTGCCTTATCCTGTCCGGCGTTTATGGATAAACCGACCCATTTAGCAACCTCATTCACCCTTGACACCATAGACTGCAGGTTACCCGAAACTGGAACCAAGTAAGGCGACATCATCGGCGTAGTCGAGATCAGTCAGTCGACGTCCGGGTGCAAATTCAACACCATCACCTTTATGTAGAGCCCTCCCGAAAATCCAGTCAATAGTGTACTTGAACAGAATGGGAGACAGAATACAACCCCGTCGAACGCCAGACCGAATACCGAACGGTAGGGAAAGATTGTTGCGGACCAGGACTCTCGCAGTAGTGGAGCGATAAGAGGGCCTTGATCATGACGATGATTTTTGCCGGCACACCATCTAGCGCTATTATCCGCGACTCACGATAGACGGAATCGAACGCAGCGGCAAAGTCAACATAGCAGACGGCCGTCGGTCGCTGGTAGCTATGGCGACATTCGAGCAAGCGCCTTTGTGTGAATACCTGGTCCGCGCATCCACGTCCAACACGAAATCCGGCTTGGTTGGGCCTTGTTCTAACGTCACGCACAGCCTGGAATCGCCTGAGCAGAAAATAGCGGGGATCTTCGCAGCAACGTCGATGAGGCCTATGCCGCGGTAGTTCTCGGATCTCGTCTTATCTCCCTTCTTAAGGGCAGGCACAAGGATGCCTAATCCCCAGTCATCAGGAACAGCCTCCTTTTTCGACGCTTGTTCAACATCCTCATGCAGCCAAGGCGCCAGTGTCGACGGAAGACTCAGATTTCAGTGGATATAGCGTCCCCTCCGGGTGCCTTGTTGCGTAACTTTCGTATGGCATCGGCAACCTCTTTTTCAGAAGGAGGGTCGCATGGCACTGCATAAGTGGGAGGGGGAAGAAACTCCGTTGCAGAGGCGAACAAGGGCGAGGTGGGTTGAGTATCGAAGTTGGGATGGTGCTCTAAGTACTCATTCCAGCTCTCGACTTTGGCCTATCTGTCAGCAATAAAGCCGCCATTCACGTCGCGAACTGAGTCACTTAGTGTAGAGGGCTTACCGCTAACCTGGCGGATAAGTTGGTAGATTTTTAGAGTGTCACCAGCGTTTGAGGCCTGTTACATGAAGGTCGCTATTCCAGCCCAATGTTACTTCCGGTCATCCATAGCCGACTCTGCCGTCGTCTTCCGAAGTTAGTGGGAGGAATCATCATTACGGGACCTGGCTCGAGCCGTCTGAGCAGACAACTGCAGGGTTCTTCAGCTGATCCGGTCGCTGCGATGTCGCTGGGTATATCCAAGGATTTTCTTAGCTGCTTCATAGACTGACGTATTCAGTGACGACCAATGGTTACTGCCTTCCTCGTCAGCTCGAGTCGTAATGCCTGGCCAGATTTCTCTGCTCAGGGCCTCGGCTGTGTTGGCTTGCCGTATTTTTGTGACATCGAGGCGTTTAGAATGTGGTATTTTTTGGCGCGGGCGAGGTGAACTTTCAAGCTTCTACGAACGAGGACATGGTCAGACCCATGGGCGTTACCAGTCTCGGCACCACGCATCGATCTGCAATCGTGAACCTGGCTGCGGAACCTTGAACTGGCTAGTATGTAGTCAGTCTGACTGACCGTGTGACCGTCGTTTGAACACTAGGTTAGCAGATGCCTCTTGCGATGTTGAAAACACGTATTGGTGGCAAACAGTCGGTTCGGATTAGCGAAGTTAGGCAATATATCGCTATTTTCACATCGGGAACCAAACCCAAAGCGGCCAAGAAGATGCCTGTTAATGGAGTCGCCACGTCCACTCCGACCATTCTAATCCCCGGCGACAATCAGCAGATCGCGGCGAGGGAGTCGTTCAACTAACGCCTGCAACTACGAGTAAAACGCCTCCTTATCGCTCTGTTCGGTAGCCAAAGTTGGTGCGTACACAGAGACGATGGAGATGTTCGTGAAATGACCCATCAATCGCACGTAAGCCATGCGGTCATCGACTGGTTCCCAAGCAGGTAGCACAAGGTCTGCCTGTTGGGAGAGGACGATAGCAACCCAGTCTACCAGAAGTCTCGCGCGTGCCGCTGTGGTACAGGGTGACGTGTGGTTCGACTCAAGGGATCTTTATTTCTCTAGAGCCTGAGTCAGGAAGTCGAACTTCGGATAGACAGCAGACATCCGCGTCGCACCGATTAAGGCTGCGCGCGGTCAGATTTTGGGTACCGGGGTCCAGGACCGTTCGCACATTCTAGCATCCAATACCAGGAGCCCGTCCCCGATTGAGTAGTCCATCTCGCATGTTATTCGCCCATACCACTGGACCAGGGTTGCGGGGCGCGTCGGTTCTCGTGGGCGCTGTAGCATGGCTCGTAATACTGTGGTCGGACATATTTCATGAGGTTTCTTGGGAATTTCGGATACAGGCGGGCCCCCAACAGCCACCTGGATTGTTTGTTCGAGGTTGTCCCCTCTAGCGCTTTAGCTTAAAAGCCTAACCACAAGGCAGCGGCGGCAAGCAAATTTATTTAATTTCGGTTTACGGTCGCCATGTCACAATGCCGCCATCGGGCTTTGCGGCTTTCTTATATAAGGCTTTCGGCGTGCCAGGCCTCAGCCCTCCGCATCCTGACAGCACTGTCGCTGCTGGTCCGCGACTGCTTATTCGTCAGACATAGGTCTGCTTATTTCGGAACTAACCTTCACTGAAGGCCGTTGCACCTGTGGACGCGCATCTAGGCTAACGAGCCACCCATCTTCCCGACCATTCTCGCAACAATGCATCGTGTCATCATGGCTTGACCCTAGAAAAGCGATATTGTCAGTGTAGTCGAGGTCAGTCATCGCGCGCCCGGATGCAAATCCGACACTGCCAGAACCGCATAAGGCCTTTTCCAGAATCCAGTCAATGACAGTTCAAAAACATGGTCGACAGTTTTCAATGCTGTCGAACTCCAGA